CCAGATTTTGAAGTACTTTTGGCAATTTACTTTTCACTTTTTATACCACAAATATATATCTACGTGTTCACTATATAACAAGGAATATAAAAAAGTATAATACTTTCGTTTTTAGTCCAGACACAAATATAAAATTCTATAAAAAAGACGGTGCACCTTCATCAAAACGACACGTGGAACGCCGAAAGTTCAGAGTGATTTCTTTTTTTTTTCTAAGAAACATTGCCAGGTTATGGTTTAAAATAAAAGAGCATATCTTTGTCTTTGATACTATTATCTATTACATATTGTCTTTGGTTTTGTTTTATAGGAAAAAATAGTTTTTTCATAAGGCAGTACTTCTGATCCGACCTGATCTAATTCGACCCGTACCAGAGCCGACGTAAGGTAGGTATTGTATGATCTAATTAGATCCGTAGCCGAGTGAACGGGAAAAGGAATAGGCTCTTTTCTTGAAGGTCCCTAAGTCGTATCGGTCCGGGAAAAATTTCTGGTGGTTGTCGTAATTATTTATTACAGATAAACAACAAGTGCATAACGTAAGGAACAATTTATTATATGTATATATTTTACATATATTATGCTTTATTAATAATATTATTTATAAGAAGCAACGTGAGCATCGTCAACATACGCTGGAACGGAAGTTGCGTCAAAATGTTTGCTTGCTAACGAAGAAGTTATTTGGAATAATACATACTTTTTGTGCCAGCCATTAAAATTAATTAAAAATTTTATTGCTTATGGTCATTTAAAAACGTGTGAATAAAGAACAGAAGAGGCCAACGCCAATGCTTTCAGTTTTTAATGAAAGCTTAACGGCTCGGTAAATTTCTTTTGAATATCTTCCTCAAAATAAATTTCGTCTATAGAATCCGCATAAAAACAAAGCGTCGCCGCCACACTATTGCGTGGGGAAGATTGTCCGAATATTCCTTGAAACAATTACTCTACCACGACTTCCCTTCAAATGCAATTTATCGTTCAACTTTTTACCGCTTTTCTGTATCTCTCAAACAACTTTGTTTTATTGAGAGTAGTGAATAATAGAGCGAGTTTTTGAACTTCGAATCCCTTTCTACAATATTTTATTCTTATATAAACCAGTATACGTAAAAACTTTATTATTTTTGCCATAAATTAATAACATTTAGAAAAATTCTGTCTTTTTCTTTACAGTCATTAGGATGGTGATCATTTTGTCCCAGTCTCCGCTATTTGTTTGATGTGGCTTTTCAATATGACCGTTTCCTTAAAATAATTAACTGTTTTAAGATATGGTTTATGTGTCGAAAGTTAGTAAGTGACAATAAGTTTAAATTCAATTCTCCCGATTGACAAAAAACTTTAAGCGTGCCTAACAATTGAGTTGCCATACTTAAGTTAAAGTAATGTTGCGCACCATAATTAATACCTGGTACATGTCACTAGCGTTATCTAGTAGTCGAGTAGCAGAACAAATCCTTCTAGAGAATTCCATACTAGAACAATCTACACCTAGTCAGTCGGGACTGGTATGTACTCTAATATTCTAGATCTTTCAGTAGAAGAGGTCCCATATAAGGTCGATTAGGACCGCGACCAAGGGAGTGTTGAATTGGTGATACAAGCGAATAATTCGAAGCAATATAACTGCGAATTGAGTTTTATTATAAGTGTGTTTTAAGTTGTCATTGGTGTTCGATGATTTAAGTGTCAATTTTGGTAATTAAATCGACAGTTTCTATTGTCACAAACTCCAACCTCGTAACAGTAATTTATAAAGCAATTGTGCACGCGCATACACTCGGACACTACAATCCCGTCCTGCAAAGATGGCTACTTTGTTGGGACTGGCCGCCATGACCAAAACGAGGTCTGGGGGAAATTTTAGGTTTCATTTTGTTAACAGCGATAATTGTGTTCAAATTTGTGTAGATTGTTAGATTTATACTTAATTATAACAAATATGTATCAAATTCATTTATATTTTACTCATCTAAATGTGTATATCTTCACTTAGAAGATACAGCCAAGACAATCCAGAAAATAAAATCAAGGTAATTATATATTATAGAATTATACCTAATTAGAGCGTATTCACGACAAGAGTGAGTTTTGTTAAGTCTGGGCTTTTGGTAAGTCAAGCCAAGTACCCTTTCACTAACGCTTGCAGCTTTCTATTAGATTGGTCTGTTGTCAATCATTGGCTTATGCCCGGTTTATATTTTGAGAAGTGACGAGTGCGAGTGGCAAGAGCAATTGATAAATGACAATTATTAGACAAAAATTAGACTGTTTAAAGAAAAAATTCAAATTCTTGGGATTAAATATAGCGTAGACCCTAGATCAATCCTCGTATAGCGTTCAATGTATTCGTGAGGTTTCATTACAAACGGATTAGTTGTTACATTCTACACAGTCAAACCGCACTCGAAGGTCAGCCCGGGCAGACAGAAAGACAGACTTTATGTCTTGATACCATGCAAATAACCACCTAAACATAATATAAGCCAGTTATTTCCATACTACAGACAGACACTTAAATTTTTTTACATACACATAATATACAGATGTATATAACTTGCGACAAGATCAGAAAATTTCAAAATTTTATGTCGTGTCTCGCGATCAATAACGAATTTTGTTTTTCTTTTTAAACATTAATGTGACAAACGGTCTAACAAGTCAACAATCTTATGTTCTCTGTGTCTATTTTTATCTTACTCTGTGTCACGCAATGAGATTAATTGAATCGCGGGTAGTTTTAGGCGTCGTCTCCGGGCACTACCGGTCGTCTGAATGATTTGCCGCTTCCCGCTTCCGACTGCGATGACTTGCCGTCTAGGACATCTTGGGGTCGGCAGATTTGTCGTTTTGTCATAAAACGAGTGCAATTATAGGAATCGAAGGGGATTCTGTATATTTGTACGTTAAAGTTGTCTAGTCATCTGAGAAGATGATTTTGAAATATACACTTAATAACAGTGACCAAGAAAGTGGTATTAAAAAAAATACCATTCGATAGGGCATAAAATCAAAATCAAAGCCAATATCTAGACAAAAGCAAAAGTCGTTTTCGTGTAACGAAAGGTTAAGTACAGTAAAATTAGGTATCAAATTAAATAGATGTTAAATATTAGTTTGCCGTGTAGTGCCGGCATAAGGGAGTCCACTACTCAAAGCCGCCTTGAGTTACGCCACAGCTGAAACACAGGTGAACAGCAGGCGGCAAACTGGGATTGCTAACCCGCGTACCAAGTGGGACAATTACAGCGAATAGCCCCTTTATGAGGCAAACTATGAGAAGGCCTACGTTTAGCGGTTGGCTTTTAATAAGCTATAGTGATGATCATGAAGGTGAAGATGACATGTAGTGGTAGGAGAAGGCTAGAAAAATAGAACTTCAGGAAGTAGTACTTATTCAATTGTAAAGTTAAAATGTTAGCCATAGCTAGTTTAAAAACGTTTCGTTTCTGCTATAGTAAAAGCCTTAACTTTCATTTTTAAGTAAAAAATTATTCCCGCTAATTTCAAATGCAAAGCGCTCCAAATTTCACCAAATTATGTTGCGAAAAAGTTATGTTAAAAAAAAAAAAACGATTTTTTCAAATTCTTTCTCCTTCGATATCTCACGAACGAATGAGCCGATTTTTATTTTTATGAGGTCCTGGGTTCGAATCCCGGGTCGGGCGAAAGAATCAATTATTGAGTTTTTTCGGCAAGAAATTGTCAGCAGCTGCCCGGAGTCAGGAAGTTGGCGGTGTCTCACCACTTGCCTCGGAAAGCACGTAAAGCCGTTCATCCTGCGCCTGATCTCTCTCCGGTCGTGTCGGTTTACCGTCTCATCGGATTATGAGAGTGAGGGAATAGAGAGTGCATCTGTGCTTGCGTATACACTTGGGTGCTATAATCCTGTCCAGCGCCAATGGCTAGTCTCCGTTGAGGCTGGTCGTTGTGACCGAAATTCGGTCTGAAGAACATTATTATTCTCTATACCCTTAAGACTGTAACACAACATGTAGGCAATGGTTTGTTCCGGATTTACTTAAACATACTTCTAGGCACAAACGGAGTTTTATCACGTAATATCTATTATTTAGTACGTCCTTCTTAGCCAATAGTTTACGATACCCACAGTGTCCAAATCTATAATGTCAAATTGGTCCTTCAATTGGATTTTAAACCAATATATGAACAATTATTGACGCCTAGTTCGAGAAAGTATTTTTTTAACGGCCCCCACGATGACAAAACTCTATCCAGGGCTTTGAACAAGCTTAACCACCTAGTGGATACATGGCGAAGGACCTCTTTGAATTTACTTTCATAAAATTTAAAGCACTCTTTCAGGTCTTGTCTCTTCTTTGCTGCATGGGAAAATTCTGAAAATGTTTTCAGAAAGATGTTTTCTACGTCAACTGGCAACATCTTTAAAGCATTTTTGGCACAGTTATGAATTATATGATCATTGCAATGGGCAGCGATGATGTTACTATTCTCTTCCTCTTTCAGTTTCTGGTACACCGAATTATTCACTCCATAATTAACAGAAGCGTTATCTGCTCCATACGCAGTTACTCTGCTCCAAGAAAGATCTGCTTCTGTTAAGACTTTGGACAGGTGATTTTTTATAGATCGCGAGTCTTCGAATGGATCTTCGTAGAAATCTAAAATTTTTCGGCACATTCCAGATTTTGCTGTAAAATACTGAACGGCAACTGCGAACAACTTCTTGTTTCCTTTATTCGACGCATCAGTAGCGACGGAAAAAGGCATGACTTCTTTCAAATCCTCTTGGACCAGTTCCATTGAATAAGGGTACAGAACTTGATTCACAATGGCAGTGCATTTGGTGCGCCCTCCGGTCATTTGTTTCACGATTTCCGAATCTGTGATGGTTTGTTTTCTGACCTAAATTTAATGAACAATCTTGAGCCAAATAGGAGATGTGATGTTTTACAGAGTGAAAAATATCTGCTAACTCGGCAAGGCTTACTTTTTCACTCTGTGCGCTTTCTTTAGGCGTAAAGAAAGAGTCCATTCTTTGGGACTTGGCTTGCGCACTTTCCGCCCTTGGCATGCTGGTTCACCCCCTTCAAACCTTCAGCCACAGCAAATTCATTTCTACAAATTTTACAGTAAGCTCTAGTGTCGACGTTGGCTTTAGTTATCCAAGAATATTTATTTTCCCAGTCTTTATTATAATGGCACATTCGTCTTATTTTCGTTGGCGGTGTTGCAGAACTGGTGGAAGCTTCTTCTTCCTCCATTTTCCATTAGCTTTGTGTAAAACTCAACAAACAGTCAAAAACACAAACATACACTCAACTACTAATTAAAAAATAAAAGTAATCTAATTATCGACTAGGTAAACAAAACTCGAAAAATCAAAACAAAACACACCGGACGCGCGCAGGTGGGGGAGTGGACGCAGGCAGCGAGTACGAGTGAGTGAGACGGGTATACAGTGGTGAAGTGAGAGCCCGCAGACACAGATACAAACAGCGAGCGAGGAGCGCGCGCAAGTTTTGCGTTTTAGGGATTTCACATGCCTACTTTTGTAGGCGCTTGTGACCAGTAGTACCGACTTTCCTCAAAATACCGGACATTGTTCTGTCCGGTATGACCATTTATATTTTACCGGACAGGCCTCGAAAATACCGGACTGTACGCTTAAATACCGGACATCTGGCAACCCTAGTCAGGACACGTGATCCTGATCGAAAATACGTAAGACGGACGGCATAGCAGGGGAAGTACCCCCCTCTCTTTCTACTGCGCGGCGGCCTCCTGATTCGTTTAGGCGGCGCAGGGCGCTTGCGCGAATGTAATATAGATTGTCATGTTTGTGTACGATAGCGCAATAAATAAATATTGTATTCTACTACATAAATGATAGTACTTTTATACTGATAATTAAAGCAATTCGTGCCAAATTATTCCCTAACCATTCCAAAATATAAAAAATGCACAACGTTAATATTCAAGTTTCCACTTCTGCCGGCACTCCCGGAGTGCAACCCGTCGTTTTTTATTATTTTATGTTTGATATGTAATCTGTCGGATTACAAGGTACTCTTTTACAAAAAGTTAATATAAAAAAGACTACCAGGGGGTTGTGGCAGTACTCTATAATCCAATAAATTCGATAATCCGTCACCGCCTTGCAAAACGTTTGTCAGATTACCGCGGGTAACTGTAATATACTTATTATATTTTAAACACAACACACAAGCTGTAAATATCAATTATTCAGCTCCCGAAGGGAATAAATTAATGAGGTAATGTATTGTATAACGTATGCTTTTATAACAAAATTCCAGAGTAATCAATGTTTGCTAATCAACAAGTTGAAAGGGGTTATTATGATATTTACAAAATACATTAATGAAAATATCTCTTGCAGGTGAGGTGATTTTTACCAAGCTGTTTCAATAACAGCGTTTGCGTACATTAAAAAATCGATAAGCGCCAGTAACCTAAGGGTCAAGGGTGCGAACTTTAACTCGGACATTCGTCTATTCGAATCCGCTATTCAACTTTTCGTGAACCAATCTGAACACAAGCATTGTAGGTATTATTATTATCCTTTTTTTCTTATAATTAAATTCAATATGTAAATACAAAATGCGCACCTCGATCACAGATTATCGGTGAACTGAAAGAAAATTTCAGATTAATCGAATTTTTTTTAGAATAAGGGTGACAAACACGGAGCAAATATAAAGAGGAGGTGTTATAATTAGATTTCACTATGTAACTGTGTTATTTTTTCACACTGACTAACGGCTGGACTATTATGTCGTATGTATGTGTCGGTATACTACTGACGCCCAACCAAGTCTTTCAACTTTACATTTATTGAAGATAAAATTTCGGAATCCTCTCCCTGTAAAAGATGTTTGTTCTGAATTTTGTTCAAAATTTAACTGCCTTAATTCTGTAATTAAGGCAGTTAAATTTTGAACCTAAAACAAAAGCGAAACGTACTTAAAGCGTATTACATTTAGAAAAAAAAACATCTTAAAGTTGTATGTGAAGCGAAAGTAGTGTCACTATATAAGCACCTTCTTTTTCAAACGTTTAACTTTCATTTGAAGTCTTCTGATCTTTAGCCCATCTTTTTTTCGATTTCCATCGAAGTTGTTCTATTGTTAGCTCGCGGCCTTGCAGGCCGCGAGCCCTGTGACAAGATGAAGCTGTAAGAGTCGCATAGACTAACAGCATTAAGATCAAGATAATAGAGAGTTGTTCTATCTCTCGCTTTAGCTTCTTCTTTCTAGGGAAATCGTGAAATATTAAAAATTCATTTAAATCATTTGTGGTAGGGCTAGGTGGTGATATTGAGGGCTCTGGTAATTTTCTTTTAATCTATAATATAAAGTATAAAACAACAATATGAAATTAACTCCTTCTACCAAAATAAGAAAACTAGTAAAATACAAAGTGCATCCAAACGAACCGATATATCCAGATTAATACTGGGTAAAGTTCCCTGCTTTAATTTTTTAAAGCCTTTTTTTGTAACTGTGAAGTTGTCATCATTGAAATGGCACGAACAAATCTTTGTATATTTTGTCGGAGTCCAGTCTTTTCTATTAATTTTTGCTATCCATTGCTGTTTAAGATTATCTTCGGATGGAAATCTAGAATATAAAGTAAATAAAATAACCTAGGTCAGCTTTTTTAACTAACTGAACTACAACTGTTATAATAGTTGTCTTTCTTAAGAAAAGTTTCAAGGAGACTGAATACTGTACATAAAATATTTAATTTCAAGAAGACTTTATTTTACTAAGGATAAAATGAATATTTCTTGAAGGTTGACTTTTACAAAATGCTAAATATTTAAGTATTTATATACATTGTAGACCTTTCGTAAAAAATCAGCCTAAGTAATATTTCCTTAATTTTAAGCCGTGGGTAACTGGGTAAAATAATTGGATTCTAATTACGGCCCTGTCTTTTTATTTTATTTTGATTGTTCTTTTACTTGACGGTAGATGGCGGCCTGTTTACAAAATGATTATAAAATCTATAAAGGTAATATTTTGGCGATTAAAAATTCTTTAGGACTGAAACCAACTTCAAAAAAAAAAAAACAATTTCAGCACCTTCGTATGATTGTTTTACCAATACTGAGCTCGACTTACCTTTATATTTTTAGTTCACACGACACAAAGTGCTGCCATCTAGTATCGAATATATTTAATTATATTTGAAATCCGATGCAAAGAGATCTTTCTAGAATTATTTTAAGAAATTAGATATATAATTACTTACACATGAAATGTGATACCATCCATAGCATCAGAGCGTCTATCTGAGTAGTTTTTACACGATAAAACACAACACTTCATCCTTTTCTTCTTAATAATACGAAAATACACTGATTTTTAATTTTCGACACCGATGCGCACAGGACGAACGCTGACAGTATACTAACTAAAGCCACGCCCACTGTGATGACGTCAGGACCTAGTTAGAATCACAGTGCACAGTCGCTTAGGCCGTCTCCTCTTTATATTTGCTCCGTGGTGACAAACGAGCACACAGTCCACCTGACGGTAAATGGATGCTGTGGCCCATAAACTTCTTCATTTATCCTCGATTAAGAATTAAAACGCAGATGCATTGTCACCCCTGAGGACTAAGATGGAATGCCTCGTTATTAGTAAAAAAGGATCAATTTCTATGATATCACTTAACGATAAACCTAGTTAATTTTATTCAGTTGTGGGCGTCTTTAAGCCAAAAGTATTTTTTTACTTTTTATAAGCCAGTGCTTGACCACAATCCCACCTGATGGTAAGTGGTAATGCAGCCTTAGATGGTAAATCGCACTGTCTTAGCGTAACAAAAGCCTATTCATTTCAGTTTGCTTTCAGCTGGCAAATTATTCCACTCCTTTGCTGTACGCATTAAAAAAGTCGAAGTAAATCGTTTGGTTCTAATGCGTGGAATATCAACAACAAAGGGGTGAAGACCCGTCGATCGCCTGGTCGTTCGATGGTGGAAAGGGGAGAGAGAAATTAAAGCGTGCAATCCCTGCGCACACTTTCCGAAATGCATCCCATAGAATTCCGAGAGGCTGGCTACTCTTTGTCTGTGCTCGAGGCTGACAATGTTGGTTTCAATCAAATCAAGGTCACCAATGAGCTTCTAAGCACATCTCTGCACTGAGTCCGACGCTGCCAGGTGGCATTTTGCAGCACCAGCCCATATATGACAGCAGTACTCCATGTATGACCGGACTTGCGCTTTATATAAGGTAAGAAGTTGCCCCGGCGTGAAGTACCGCCGCACCCTTACAAGAACACCAAGTTTCCTTGCGGCTGCTTTGGCTCTGGACTCAATGAACCGCCCATAGTTGAGGTTCGGAGAAAATTCAACCCCTAACAACTGAAGGCGGTAAGTGTACTCTAAGGATACATTCTGGAAAATAGGAGTTAGGGTGAGCGGGTTACTTTTAGTGGGGAAAGGACATACTTGTGTTTTGGAGGCCTTAAAACTCACGATATTGGCATCGCCCCATTCGGACACTGCCCTTAGTGTGCGATTCACACGCTCAACCATAACCTCTCTTTCGGACTGGATTGATCCCGACTGGCCCGGGAACTTGGTTGGTATCTCTCCACAACAGTGCTATCGTCTGCATACCCATAGACACCGGGCATAAGCAGATCATTAACGTGAAGCAGGAAGAGAGTTGCGGAGATAACGGACCCTTGAGGAACACCGGCGTCAGTCGCCACAGGAGCGGATGAGGAGCCATCGACGATGACCCGGAGAGACCGTTCACTCAGAAAGTCCTTTACCCATTCAATCCGACTAGGAGATAAGCCATATGCTGGAAGCTTACCCAAAAGGCTAGCATGCTAAGCTCTGTCAAAGGCCTTCGAGACATTAAGAGAAACAGCAAGTGCCTCCCACTGTTCTTGAGTGCCCCGCTAGAAGGTCCCCATCTGACCGATTTTGGTGAAATCCTTATTGCCGGTCACTAAGGAGGTCATTTTGTTCTAGATGTACCATTAAGCGGGCGTTCATTTTACGCTCCATAATCAGTATGGAGGTTTTTTTTTAATAGGATAGGATGACAAACGAGCACACAGTCCACCTGATGGTAAGTGGTTGCTGTGGCCCATAAACATCTACATCTATCATTGATTACGAATCAAAATGCAGGTGCGTTGTCAGCCGTGAGGACTTAGGTGAAATGCCTCGTTTCCAGTAAAAAGGGTCTCCGGTTCTCTACACTCACCATAAGAAA